TGTTGGTTTGGAGGATGAAGGAAGATAGATCCTTGAGGCCAGAGAGGAGTTCAAGTGCTAGCCTTGAATTGCAATACCATTTGAAGCAGTTCTTGGAGGGAATTAATGTGATTGTTTTCCTTACATTCATTCCAAACCCACTCCTTCCTGTATGTTATTTTCCATGTGTTGGCTGTAATGTGCAAAGAGAACTGTGGTGGATTCAAGATGGCCACAAATTGTTCCCTACTCATCCTATTGAGGGATGGAGTTTAATTTCCCTCCCCTTGAATCTGTGCTTGTATTAATGACGCATTTGGTACACAAAATTTGGCAGAAGTAATATGGAATTTCAGAGTTTATGTGCTTTAGAAGACTTGCAGTTGTTTTTACATCTAGAGCTAGTATACTCTATAGCACTAGAAGTAGACAGGGATTGTACATGAAACCATTCATCCAATAAGTCAATTATAGAGCAGACACTTAGAACTGTGGAGCAAAACTATTATGGTTTTTAAGAATAGTAGATTGAAGCTGGTAGCTTCAACATAGACCATCAAGTTATAATATCACTTGAATTTCTCTTGATGGACTAAGTGTTGTCAATCCAGCGAATCTAAGTTGGGCATGAATGACAGCATTTCATTATCAAGTGGCAGTGGAATATATGAGAGAGTAAGCACAAGCACACTGAATAAATAAGTGACTCAGATTCCCATGGTTTGCTCTAATCTCTTGGAACATACACACATAGACTCATATGAGCTTCTCAGTGAACAGCAGACTTAAAAAATAAATATTTGACATTGTTTAAAGAAAAATTTTGCATAATATCTTGGTATCATCCAAAACTAAATGGCTACATCATTGCTGCCTTGCTCAAGGGTGACCCAGGCAGATAGGTGAAGGAATTTTTTTTCCCCAATGGACAGAACTTTTCATCAGTGTACTTGACTATTTATTTTGTCTGAAAGGAGAAAGAGAGAGCCAGTGATATGAATCTACATTGCTTCATGGGAAGTAACTGGTGGAGTAATATGATATATATTGGTCAGAGGAAAGACTGGGAAACAAGAAATATGCTCAGACTTCCTTGAATGGACACAGAAGGGCCCATGTGAATGCTCACCGCAGCTCAACCTCAGGATAGAAAGATCTTAATAAAGGGAAACATGACACATTGTGGACCTCTGTCAGATCTTTTTCCAGTCATTCCCTTCCTTGTTTGATTAGCTTGTAAGGAAAGTGATTCTGGTGGCAGATGTGGGCAGTGTGTGTGAGTTCAGCAACATGAATTTACACTTGCCAAGGCTAATCTGATTGATAGCCATTGAGAAATGTCCAGTTCAAAAAAAAAGTGAGACCAACACTGAGCCCCTGAAATAGCACAACCCTTTGGAAGAATCAGCCCCTATCTGAGAGTGAATTAGTTTCAATGGACTCTCTTCCTATCATAAAAGGGCAGCGGTTTGTTCTCAATGCATAGAAAATTAATCTTCATGGTATCTTTCCCACCTGTCACACTTTTGCCAAAAAAAGTGCAACTGTGAATTTATAGAATTCTTACATCTTATTTGTCATCATATTCTTCCATAAGCTTTACTTCTGACCAAGGACTTTATTTTGCAGTAAATAAAGCGTTGGAATAGGCTCATTTGTACTCATAGAATTCATTAGTTTTACTGTGTTATCCATCATTGGAAGGTGGAATGGTTCTTCTGACAATTTTGTTAGTGTGCTAGACAGAAGGAAACTCTTTATCAGGCTCAGGTAATGTCCTGAAAGATGCAGTGGATTCTCTAAACGAGCAACCAATATATCTTAGTGTTTCTTCATTATTCCTGGGTCCAGGAATCAAAGGGTGGAAATGAGTTTCTCTCACTATTGCCACTAGTGATTCACTTGCAAAATTTGTTCTCTCCACCCTCAGTGTTATGCTCTGCTGGCCTAGAAGTCTTAGTTGCCAAGGGAAAGATGCTTCTATGGGGAAATGTAACGGTGATGACATTAAGCTGGAAGTTGGTACTGCTTGCTGGCCACTTTGGGCTCCTCATGATAAAGAATCAACAAATAAAGCAGAGTTTTGCTCTACTGATAGGAATGACTGTGGCTTTCAAAAGGAAGGAGGGGGCTGGGGATAGAGTACTTCCCTAGTGTGTGCAAAGTCCTGGGTTCAATTCCCAGTACAGAGGTAGAGTGGAGGAGACCAGAAAGGAAATTGAACTACTAGCAAACTGTAACATAGTAAGAGCTATGTCTGGAACTCAAGGATATCTCTTTTACTCTCACGTACTGTGAGGACCTTGCTTACTGTAACAAGGTATATGGAAAATGACCCAATACAAGTCCAGTTGGCAAGGCCTGGATCCTTCAAAAATGAAGATTTAAGTCACCGTGACCAAGTGACATGTTGGCTGAGGACAAAGGATATATGGGATGGGTAGCAACAAGGGAAGTTATAAATATCACTTACAGCCACAAGATCAGTTATGGAAATTAGAATGGTAACACTTATATTTATTATTTTGATATAAAATGTATTTACCAATGCTTTTTCTTCCCCTGTTGTCCATCTAATATAAAATGTGATAAATGTAATTTTCTTTTGTATTAGTTCCCTAGGGCTGCTGTAATAAAGTACCACAAACTGTGTGGCTTATAAGAGAAATTTATCCTCATATAGTCTGGAGGTTATAAGTACAAAATCAATGTGTTAGCTGGTCAGTTTTCTTCAAGAGGCTTTAAAGGAGAATCTGTTCTACCTCTCTCCTGGCTTCTGGTGGTTACTGGCAATCATTTGTGTTCCTTGGTTTGGAGACAAGATCACTCCAATCTCTGCCTCCATTGTCATGTGACATTTTGGGGATATGTGTGTGGGGGTCCAAATTTCTCTCTTCTAGTCAGTGAAATAGTCATTGAATTAAGCTCATCTTAACTCAGTATAACTTTTTATGAACTTGAGTACATCTACCAAGACCCCATTTTCAAATAAGATCATATTTATAAGGCCTCAGGTTACAGCCTATCTTTTGGCAGACAAAATTCAAACATCTTTGTATCTCTGGACTTCAAATGGAGAGTGGATCTCAGCTAGTTGAGGATTTAACGCCACCTCCAAATGAATAAAGTTATAAAATGGGCTCTGTGTCCTGTGTTGGGGAGATGCATCTTACTGGGTGTCATCAGCATTTTACTCACGTCTTTGTTTGGATGTTATATTTGGTTAAAAGAAGTATAGTTGGCAAGGGATGAACTATGGTGGTTTTATATAGTACCACCTCAGCTAAATCAAAACTATATTTCAGAACTCCATTTCCTGTTTCACACTGGATTAGCCCTAAGGGAAATTTGCATGAGGCTGGAAAAGCAGAATTGAAGCAGCAGCCATTATATTTTGAAGGGGGCCCCAGGAATTATTTTAACTAGCGCACATTTTCACTGGTCCCCTCGCTCACTTTAGGTCAGAAGCTGTGATTGCAGCTCCTAAAGTTGATTATGCTAGGTATGTGTTCAGTTCCATGGCAAAGGATACTAGATCCTTCAAATAACTCCCATTAAGCTTGGTTAAGGGCTGATGTGGGTTCTAGTTTGTCTTCCTAATTCCTTCTTTACTTCATGTCCAACTTGTCTTCCCAGTGACCTTTACTGACTCAGAGATTTCAGGCCATCATAGAGGCAATCCTTTCCCTCTGCACTAGATTCTACCATTGCCTGACGTCTGCTCCCTAGGATAAACTCCTTCCACATCTTCTAATGTTTTTGCTTCCGATCAGATCCTGATATACACATCTTGCACGAAACATTGACAAAAGTGGTCCCAGAGGAAGAAATCAGAAGCTGTGGACAACACTGCATTCATATCCTACCAACTCAAAAGGCTGAAAGTCATCCATAGACAGCTGTCATTTTAGACACTAGTTTTTTTCTAAATACTTTATTATTGCTAATCTTCTGGGCACCAGTGCTTGCTTTTCTATGGTTTCTTTCCTACAATCCACATACACAATTGTCTCTGATCAGAGCTTCAAATCAAACACCTGAAATTGAATGCTACATGTTTGGGAAGAAAATCCCACAAATATGTGCAAAAGTGGCGTGTTTGTAGGTGCCTGTCCAAAAAGAAGGCAAAGGTCAATATTGCCAGATGTTTTACCTTCCACAAGGGAGGATCTACCTAGTTAGAGCAATTTAGTAGCATTCCTAGTTCATTTTTGGAGTGCAATTCAAGTTCTAGTTCCTTACCAACACAGCTTTTTCTTTTACTCTAGTATTCTGCTTCTTATATTTCATTGCTCTCAGTGGTTCATCTCTCCCCACTTACTGCCAACATATGAGTGCTGGGTTTTATGTCTTCCTATCTCTTTCTCCATGTCCTTTGTTGTCATCTTCCCCGAGTTACCTCCCACACTGCCCAACTTGGTCCAAAAGTAGCTGGTATAAGTACCACAAAATGTGAACTCTCTATCCTGGTTAATATTCACTAATTGGAGAAGTGCCAACTATTGAAATATGTGTATAGAAAGGTGGTGGAGCTCCTGGTCTGTCCAAGTTAAGTGAATGATGCCTATATTAAATGCTTTCAATTATTCTATTAAATCGCTAAATTCATTTGGCATAAAATGATGCCTGCATTGGTCAGTGACCCTACTTTCTCACAAAGACTTGATTATTTCCTAGCTTAGTACTCAAGTTCCCAGGCAACTAGTGAGGCCTAGAAACCTGGGAAGTCTGATTTCTAGAGCAATGGCTTGGTTAATCCATATTGTTTTCATGAAGTGGTTAAATTCCTCTTGAAAAAATAGAGGCTAAGTGACCCAAAGCAGATTAGTAGAAAAGACCTGAGTCCTTTTCAGAATTCTTGGTATGCTGGTTGGCAGGATTCCTGTCTGTCCGAGACAGGCCTTCTCTTGAAATCGTAAACTTCCAAAAACATAAATCATTTCCATGTAGCTCAAGAACAGAAACTGTATTCTTTTGGTTTTTTTTTTTTTTTTTGAAAGAAAGCACTTTACACACTATGAGAAATTTAACATTTGGATTTAAAAAGAGTCTGATAAATTGCTACAAATTTTAAATCATCAATTATGTATCAAAAGCTTACTCCTTAAATATGCTCCAACATCAAGAAAATAGCCTGCTAATGAATTGTAAAGAGTAGAAAATACTGTAACAGATTTTAATTGATTAACACTTTACATTAAATTAAAATAATCTCAAGTAGCTGTTAATTCCTGTTAAATTCAAGCTCTACTTTTAATAAAAGAAAAAACTCAAACACTTTAAGCAGAAATCTATTAAAAATAAACATAAAAAAATATTGTCATAACATTTGTAAGCAAATGTTCACAAAAAATATTTATGTCAAATATAGTCACGTAGCATGAGACATGCCAGAATTCTTCAACTCTAACTCAGACCTGGAAAATTTCAGTTTGTTGCAAATCTTTCCTGTGGCTAAGTCTCTCTAGACCTATACTTCAGTGAAACAGGAAATGTTTGGATTGTATTCTTCCCCTACCCCCACCTGTCTGTGGATTGATAACCCTGTGATACATTAACTAAGTGCTGCTATAGGTAAGCTGTGCTTGCAAAACTGAGTCTGATTTGCTAAGACTAGGGGACAAAAAACCTGCTGCAAATGCACTATCTGGTGAATGCCACCAAAGATGTCAATTGAATAAGTGGCAATGAAGGCAATGAGGACTTTGGAGACAGAAATGGCAGATTGTCACAAACAGTTATCGATTAGCCATTGGGAGATCACTGACTTCTAACCCATCAGGCAGTGATTTGGTTGTCAAGGCTCGAAGGCTGATGAGAATGCTCACATTCTTGAGGTCACCTTAACTAGGGCTTCCACAATGTAAGAGGAATTATACTTATGGATGAGGATGACAGGAGAGGATAATAGGGAATGGAGGGCATTCATAACTGGGCACATCAACCCTGGAGATCTTTAGCTTCCTCGAAGATTCTCTGCTTCACACCCTCATCTCCCTTCCCTATGTCAAAACATGTGCTTTTAATTATGTCATATGTACAAGCTTCCAGAGGTAACAGAGGCTTAATCCTGAGTTGAAGTAAAAAAAGAGTGGGCAAAAACGACACGTCTCAGAATGAGTTTCATTTATATAATGAAAATAAATTTTTACACAATCAACAGAAACACACAAAGTTTGTTTTTGCTTTTTTTTTGCGAAAAATATTTTTAAATAAATTTTTGTCATTTTTTTTTTTTTTACATTCTATATACCATATGTAACAAGGTTTATGGCACTATAACCAGAATAAAACCCAAAAAAAAAAAAAAAAGGAAAAGGTGGGAAGGAAAGTAATTGGTTTTGTTGAATTTCTTTCTACCTCCAAGCTGGCAATTTTGCACTATTTGTCTATCATTCACTTGCCAGCTCTAAACTTGTTTGCACACTCAAAACACCATATTATTGCACAAGAGCCAGTGAAGGCCTATGGTATAGTGGTCAGTCGTTCCTTGTTGTTGTTTCAAAAAGTTTCTTCAACCCAGAGAGCGGGGGGAAAGAAAAGTCCAGAGCATAAAACACTATTCTCTATTTCTTTAAAGAATACGCGAAGGTTTCTTAGACCACTCAAGCTGCCCTGATCTTCTCTCTGCACCAAGGAGCACAGCAGGGCTTGGTTGGGTGGGGTTTTTATTTCCTATATGGATGGCCCAGGTAGGCTCCTAGGTCCTCATGATCCAATGTCTTTTCTACTTACTTTTGGTTCTTTTAAAATGGTGTATATGGGATCTTAGGTCTATGAACCTGCACAGACTATTTAGTCATAAACTCTACAAAAAGCTTAAAAGGAAAAGGGGGAGAAACAAGTTTTATTATATTTTCATTGTTGGCTTTAAAAAAAAAAATGACCTCTTGAACCTCCCTGCTTTGTCAGTTTGTGGGAAGTAAATCTCAATGGCATCAAAAGTTATAGTCTTCTCACACTTGTTAAAAATAAAGTCTTTAAACAAGTTTGTTTCCATTCACAAACTTTACCCCCAACTAAAAAAAAAGGAAAAAAAAAGGGGGGGGGACCCAGAACCCATCCTCCTTCCTTTTTTGCCCCCCAAAGGAGAGCAGCAATCCTTTCCACCCTGAGCACGGTCACACGACCGTCTCCACACCCATCAGCTTTGGCGTAAGGATGCGTGGCGTCACACCATTGTTTAGGTCTTCCTCAAACTCCAGCAACTGCCCCATGAAGTTAAGATTTGGAGAAATAATTGGTCGTTTGCCTTTGACAAATTTGTAAGCATCAGTCATGGTCATCCGTGTGTGCTTCATCAGGTAGGCGATGACAATGGTGGCAGAGCGGGACACTCCGGCCTGGCAGTGGATGAGAAGCCCCTTCCCACACTGATGAGCTTCCTCTGAAACGAGAGAGAGAGAAGAGATGAAGGGAAGGAGAAAGAGATGGACAGAGACAGGTTAACACGGACCTGAACTTGCCCAGGCTTCATTTGGTAGAGAAAGAATAAATTTAAATGGTTTTTAAAACTCAGTACAATATACTAGTCAATTCTGCATGCTCAGGTCACACTTCCAGAACCAGCTAAAGTCAGTATTAGCATGAGAAAGAGGCTACATATTTACATTTAGAGAGGAGATGGAGTAGAGGAAGCATTCATTGGAACAGTATCACAGTATCTCACGGCAGGACAGAGGCTGAAGCTATACTTCCAGCACAATGAATGGGCTTACCTCCCCACCACACACACACACACACATTTCTTTGTGTGTGTGTGTGTGGTGGGGAGGTACTGGGGATTGAACCCAGAAGTACTTTCCCACAGAGCCACACACCCAGCCCTTTTTATTTTTTATTTTGAGACAGGGTCTAGCTAAGTTGCTTAAGGCCTCCCTAAGTTGCTGAGGCTGACTTTGAACTCAGATCCTCCTGCCTCCGCCTCCTGAGCTCCTGGGATTGTAGGCATGTGCTATCATGTCCAGCACATTTCTTTCTGTATACTACAGAATTGGGAAGTGAAAGGAGGGGAAGGCAGGGGATGTGGGGATTAAGAGAGATAGTAGAATGAAACAGACATTATTACTGTATGAATGTATGTGACTGTATGACCATTGTGATTCTACAATATGTATACTCAGAAAAATGAGAAATTATATTCCATCTATGTAGGAAAAAAAAAAGAATTGCTTAGTTTAGGAACAGACATTAAATGGATGAGAGATTTTAGCTTCTCACTAGGAAAGTCAATTATGGCCAAGTTTAAAGACTTATGGTTTAAACCAGAGTGTAGCCCTCTCTTAAGTGTTCAAAATTCCCCTTGCATTCATGGAGGCTGCACCAGTATGGCAAGGATCGGCAAGATGCAGGAATTCCCACATTGGCTCAGAATTTGAGTCCCCAGAACTTCAAAGCTCCTGTCTGAATAATGGGAACAAAACCAGGTATCCCACTCGGAGAATATGGGAATATTGTCATTTGATTCAGGAATATGCTGGCACAGTTAAGCTCTAAACCTAGACTCCACTTAGTTTGTGTTAAGCACCGAGTGGTTATGATGTTAAACACCTTCTGTTTCCCAAAAGCCACACTATGAGATTTTAGCTTATTGGATAACAATGAAAATAAAATTGTGCCCTGCAGGTTATGACTCTGAATTGCTTTCAGGCTAAATGCTGTTTGTGACTGGTTTTGTTTTCCTTCTAAAGAGCATGTAAGCCTGAGTAATCTATAAGGAATGTGAGTACTTGGGTTGAAATCCTCCCAGGACAAGTGTATCTTATGCTACTCATTAAATGGGAAGCAGATACCCCAAGGCCCTCCGCCTGGAATGAAGTCAGGTGGGACCAGTCATGACATCATATATCAACCAAGAAGTTCCCTGTCTACTAGGGGACAAAAATTTCTTCTGCAGGACTCAAGGACTGGCTCAGATTTTATTAATAAAGAATCTGAAGCATCTTTACATGTTGGCCGGCTGGGAATTAATTAATAAGGCATTACAAACACCGTTCCGGTATTTTGTAGAAAGGCTCATGGCCTGGGAATCAAGAACCCTGGATCCCCATTGCTTCTCTGACACTAGACTTCGGAGAATCTTGGAGAAGTCACTGTACTTATCTGAGTACAGCAACCAGTCTGAATTTCCTTCCAAACTGAATACTTCATGGTCCTCCACTGAAGATACAATCAGCAAAGGAAAGAGTCGGGCAATGTGACCAAAGCTTGTCAGCTCTTCCGCAAATCCACCAGGCCCTTAAACCTGAGGCTTTTTTATTTTTTATTTTATTTTTCTGACGATGGAACATCAAACATGATGGGAGAAAGGCCAATGACAGCTTGCTGCAATAATGAGGAAAAGTACTGGGCCAGCCCTTTACCAAGATAGCAGTTAGAGTCCCTTGGAAAAATTATTGAGTGTCTGCTATATGCTAGAGTTCTCCAAACGATCACTTGAGTCTTACAGCAGAGTTCAAGGCTGCAAGAAGTAACAAAATTTAATTAGGATTAGGCTGATGGTTGCTTCCTTTTAAAGATGAGAGCCTGCTATTGCTTGAATTGTTCTCCTAGGGCTATCTAATCTGATCTTTCCTGCTTCAGTTGAGTTTGCAAACTGTCAAAGGAAATCTTGTATCATCTCACCAGCACTAACATCCACTCCATTTTGTTATCAAGTGCTTCAGAACCGAGACAAAGCAGAAAGGGAGAAAGAACTCGACCCCATCCCTTTCTCCCTCCTCTAGGATGAGGCAGTGCATAAGGAGGTTCACTTTGGCATGACCAGTCTGAAAAAGTTTCTTCAGATCAACCCTTCAGCAAATTCTACCTGTATCTCAGCCTCAAGTGAAGAGGTACCCACTGCAACTTAGTTTGATTCAAGGTAAGGAAATGCAGTCACCTCTCATGCTGGGTGAACAAGGCTGAGTAGGGTGCTAGGGAGAGATGGGCATTTGAAAGTGATATATTCACTTATTTCATGTCCTGCAGGACTCTGAGGGGACTTGGCAGATTGGGTAGCAGCAGTACCAGCTCTGATCCTCAATTCCTTACTTTCCCTCCATTCTTCTAGGATTAAAGCATGGTAAATGCTAACCACTACCATTTTTTTTTTCCATTGAGAATTTGAGGGATGGGCATTTCTAGTTGAACAGATGTCAACCAAATTATTTTTTTTATGTCCATCCTGATGGCTCTGATATGTTAAGAATGAGGAGGACACTTTGGCTGCATTAGGTGACAGAACCCAAAACACCTCTGAGCAGCTGTTTTTGAGGAACATAGGAATAAACCTTGGACTTGATTTCAAAGCAGGAGCCAGAGGGAAAGGAAGGCAGAGGACAAGGACTCCCAATGGAGATACTTACCAATGAACTCAAAAGCCTCTTCAAAGTACTGCCGCAGGTTCTGCTTGTTGCTGTCGGTGGCCGGCAGCCGCTTGTAGTTGAAGAGACCTTTCTCGTAGTGGTAGAGGGGAAGGTGAGTGGTGACGTTGATGACATAGCCAATGTTCAGCCGCTGCATGGTGTCCAGGTCCTGAGCGTCCTGCTCATTGCCAAGGAACAGGAAGGGCAGGATGGGCGTCAGCTCTGCATTCTCGATGTCAGGGGTGGTGGGGACAGACTGAGGTAGCAAGCTCGAGGCCGCAGATGCACCGCCCCCCACCTCCCGGCACTCTTGGAGCTGGAGGGAGTTGTCACAGAGGTTTTCATGGTTCTGCTTAAAACTACTAAGTCCACCTGGAACACAAATACAGAAAGCACGATTAAGATTTCAAAGCTGGCAGAAAATGCCAACTTCACAGTAAGAATCAGAGTATGTGGTTGCTTAGATGGATGTTTATGTGTGTATGAACCCCAAACCCAAAATGCAAGAGTCCATTTGGGGAGCTTCCAGGACCAGCTTCAGAGCGTCTCTCTGCATGGAGGACTCTAGAAACATGTTCCTTATATACAAAGTGGGGCACGTTGTTCAGGAATGAGCCCCATGTAGCATCAGGCAATTTCATCAGCTGCAAATGTGATCTGCCTCAAAGAGCCATAAGCCGTATGCTCAGTGGCCTATATAGAACCTTGCACTTTGGGAGCAGAGGAAGGCATGGATGGCATCCTCTGGCTGAGAATTGCTGCCTGTAATCTGGCCCTGCACACATGTCACCTTGTACCTTTCATGCTCACCTTACCTGGAAGGCCACATCTGCTCCCAATACAGCAGAGGGCTTACAAGCAGGGACCATGGCTATAACCCCAATGCCACCCTTCCTGGCTCTGTGACTTGGGCAAGCTCCTCCCTCTCTGTTCCTCTTCTGCTCAGATGAGGGTAATGATACCTGAGTGTGAATATGAGTCTAAGAATAAATACATTTAGCATGTTGTTAGGCATATACGATTGCTCAGCAAATGTTAGTTATTTTTATAAATATTATTTATATGAATGTCCAAAGGTAGAAGCAGCTGAGAAATGATTGGAAAGGACAAGACAGGGTTGCAGGGACAGGGAGATCATTCTTAAGGTCTCATTCTGATGTTTTTGCCTGCAGGTCCTGACCTTTGTCAGCCTTGACTTCCAGTAGAAGGGAAGTGGAGTAGCTTGATCCCTTGAACCTGAGTTTTGAGGGTCCTAGGTATATAAACCCCTCAGGAAACTGCTAATGGATCTATGAATATACTTTAAACATAAACCTCTGCTCTGCCTCCAAAAATTATGGGTCTACCATAAAAAGTTTAAGCTGTACCTGTTTCCACAATTTTTAAATGCAAACATTCCCCGACCCAAGTATAGTTTCACTTATGGAAATTATCTTAGGAAAATCATTTAACAAAAGACCTTCAGCTAGATATGTGAAGACATCCACTATGGCATTATCAGTCTAATGGAAAAAGGAAAGCAAACAACAAAATAAAAATTAAAAAGAAAGTAAATTTTATTTTATTCATTCCATAGACTATTAAGAGTAGTTATGAAAAGGTATGAATGAACAAAGAAACTGCTTAGCATTAAGTTAAAAAAGCTAATTCAACAATAATTCACCAAAAGCTGAAGGACTACAGAGAGAGAGAGAGAGAGAGAGAGAGAGAGAGAGAGAGAGAGAGAGAGAAAATACACAATGTTTAATTTAAGTTAGGAAATATATAGATTATTGTTTTGATTTTCCTTTAATACATGTTATATTCAAATGCACAGATGAATGAACCCTAAGGATTATTATGAGGTTTAAATTATATAATATACATGTTAGGGCTCTGAAATCTGAATTGACATTATTAGCACTGAATGAGCTCTAAAATTCTGACTAGACAAAAACTAGATATCCTCTTGCGTTCTCTTTGAAAAGAGGGGGAAATTGGAAAACTCCTATTAGCTAAAAACCACCAAAATGCAACATTCATTCCCATAGATGCCTTGTGTCTGTCTTGATAGTCTTTGGATTCAGGCAGAAAACACAAGGACGAATAGGATATGGTTCTGTTGAAACAAGGACAGGAAGTCTATCTGTCCACTAGCTTCTGACCCTAACATGTGTTCTCCATTTCAAGTTTCACATGTGACAACCACAGGGGGAAGTCCAGACTAGAGCCTAGACCAAGTATCATGTCTATGTACAAGCAATGGACCCTGAAACAGCTGTGCAAGACAGAGGAATCCCATTGTCATTAAGAGATGGTAACAATCCAAAAAAAATTCAAAGGCCATATAATGGTCATATAATGATCATCCAAAATGAGTCCAGTAAAAAAACTTGTTTTTCAAAAAGAAAAACGAAATATTAACTCATTCTTACCGATTTCCAGAATTAAACTTTGCCCATACTGTTATTTATTATGCTATGAAAAAAAAATGATAAAGTTTGAGCCCAAAGAGAATTTTTAAGTGCAAAGAAAAAAAAAAGAATACAAAAACTTCATCAGTGAATACTTTAAAAAATTAGAATAAAATAAAAACTAGCCATTGTTACCATGATAAGCTCAGAAGGCACTCTGTTATTTTAAAATCTACTCAGCTTTGCCTCCACAAAAATACAAGTAGACGGTTCCACACTGATTCTATGATGAGAGCCCAATTCATTCTTTTAAGAAAAAAATCAGTTGAGACATTTTTCTACATACGATGAGAAGAAAGACCATCTCCCCCACCCCCCGAAAAAAAAAAAAAAAAGTCCTCAAACGAAGTGGGAAATCCTCTAAGCAGTGGGGGGAAAAAAACTTCTCTCTGTTCTTATTTAGGGTACTCAAGCTGTAATTTGTGAGTTAAAAGATAAAATAAATTAAAAAGCATGCCAGAAAACTCCCCACACAGAAAAAAAAAAAAACCAGCATAGAGCTTTTTAAAATTCTGTCTCTACACCTCCTTTCCCAATGACATCAGCTGGAGGCTCCCCACCTGCCCAGTTGCCATAGCAGTTACACAAAGACATACAATGACATCAGTTGGCATGATATCAGCTCTTTGAGTGCAAACAATACAAGAAGAACTACTTTGTTTAAGGCCTTTGGTGCAACTGTGTTCTGGGGAGCCAATGATGTAATGCTAACAGGTGGCATGGGCCTTCCATTTGCCTAATGGGGGGAAAAAAAAACCCATGGGAGAGGGGGATGGAGGGAATTTGAGACAGACACACACAGAAAGCTCCAAATTGCAGGGTGTGCTCATGTGCAAAATTATGTGTGTATTGTATGTATGTTTGAGCCATGTAAGAACTCTGTTCACAAATTATTTGAACGGGGAGTAGATAGCACAGGAGCTCTTTTAATTCAAACATATAAGCTAGAGACAAGGACATTCTCAGTGAGGGTCTAAAGAAACAGTCTCCTGTCCAATTTCCAGTCTGCTCATCAACTTAAGCATCGGTTCTCATCCAAGGGTAACACATATCTATACACAACTGTTAAAAATCTCTCTGGACGGTATTGAAAGCAAATGAACCAGTAGTAGCTTGCAGTGCCTTTTTTTTTTTAAGAGAGAAAACTACAGGAAAAATATGTGGGTTTTTTTTTTTTTTTTTTTTCCTTTCGTGGTGGTTGGTGGGGTGAGTGGAATTGGCAGCTGTAGGGGAGGGGGGTGAGTAGAACCAATTTCCACCCACCCTATCCCATCAAATACCACCTGAGGCCATCCTGCCTGATTGCTTAATGAAGAGCTTTAATTATGTTTGTTGTTACTATATGAGAATATTACAAAATAGTAATTAACCAACAATTGAGGTAGAAGCAGTGTGGTGTGGTTAACAGAGCAGAGGTTAGAGGCAGATAGACCCAGGCTATCATTGTAATTCTGCTGGGTAGGGAGTTGTGAGACCTACAAAGGTCTCAAATCATTTTCTCCTATTAAGCCTCAGTTTACTGATCAAGTGGATATCATATCATGTACCCTTAGGGTTGCGATAGAAGAGGTCTATGTAAAGATTTTGACACACAACCTGATGTTTGATAATTAACCTCTTATTACCCCAGTACCATCAACCCAGGTCTCCCCTGCTATTGATCTGTGCTCATGTGCAGTGATCAAGAGCAGGGGCACTGAGGCCAGGCTGCTGGGGTCTGACCCCTAGTCAAACACTAGCTGTGAGATGCTGGGCAGGCTTCTCACCTGTCTCTTCCTCAGTTTCCCCATATGTAAAACAGAAATGATGACAACAGTGCCTACCTCGTGGGAATTTGTAAGGATTAAACTGGTTAATAAATACAAAATATTTTATTAACAATGTCCAGCACACAGGAAGCACTTTTCTTTCAGTCCCTTGGGAAACTGTAATCTTAACGATCTAAAAGATAAAAAATAATAAAGATCTAAAAAAATGCTTCATAATGATTGTAAATGATTATATGATTGTAAATGACGGTAAATGCATCAAGTGTTAAAGTTTGAATAATATAATTTTATCATAAAAAGAAACAACAGCTCCCTGTCCTTCCTAATCACAAAGGATATATATTTTATTAGGACAATTTATGTGTCCTAACTTTCACAATAAAGATTACATGTCTTTGGATTCCTAGTTTTTCCAGAGGAGGACTAAATTTTTAAAATAAAACTGCTCTTCTTCCCTCCCTTCCTCCTTCCCCTAATCCCTACCAAACACTAAACCTCCTTGTGTACACAAGAACCTGCAGTCACCAGTGGAAATGTTTTTTTTTGAGACATGAGCAATCATGCTGGGGGACATTTTCAAATCTTATCTCAACACTAGGTTCCCTGCCAAAATGAGCATGGTGATCACACCGATTCTGAATGGTAACAGCAAAGAATACCCAGCACACCCAAAGAAAATACATATTAATAGCACCCGCCTGGTTTTCTTTTCTCCAATAGGAGGTCAGTACAGCGACTGTCCCAGAGAAGCCATGGATTCTAGTTTTAGGGGGAAACCTTTCTCTGTGGGTGCACTGCAGTTCCCATGGCGATTGTGACTACTGCAGCCTTAGAAACAGAAGGGTCCTCTGTGGTGTAATTCGGAAGCCATGCTCTCTGGCTGCAGAGTCGAAGCGCCTTCATCCACATGTGGAATCCATAAACAAAAAGTTCCCACATCTAAAGATGAATAGCACTTCTGCACAACCTTTTGGTTATTATGCTAAGCAGGACGTGAGCGCCTTCCGGAACTTTAAGGAAAACATTGTCTGAAGGTCAGCAAACAGAATGAGTGTCCAAAGAGGGGGTGTGTATAGTCTCAAACTGGACTCTTGTGCAAGTTTGCTGCAAACACACTGATCACTCCTGTTGTCGTCTTGTTTTTGCTACT